CATTGACTATGCTACCGTCATTTGAAACGCAGCTACCTAAGTATGTGAAACATTCCACTACAGATAATTCTTGACCATCAAGCATCAGAACTGGGGTAGACGACACCCAGTCTTGTAGCATCACTTTGCACTTTGAAGGTGCAAAGCGCATACCGAAAGGAGATACAGAACTTGCTAGGCTGTCAAGAGCGCATTGCGCATCTTCCACAGATTCGAACAGGCATACGATGTCATCAGCGTACTCTAAATCGCACAGCTTTTTTCCAGCTGTCCATTCAATACCTACGTTCTGGAGACCAGTAAGTGCGTTCTCCATAACTTCGTCTACGACGAAATTGAACAGGAATGACCAAATAGGGCACCCTTGACGGACACCGCTCCTGGTTAAAAGACGATTTACTTACCCTACCTACTTACCCTTACGCTACCAGAAGTATGCAGGTACAACGACCGCAATAGGTTTACATACTTCTGCGGCATTCTTTTGCGCAGCAGCGACCCCAGAAGAGCTTCACGGTCCACTGAATCGAAGGCTCCTTTTAGGTCACGAAACACTGCGATTGTTGACCGACGATGTGTGTGACGCAGTTCGAGGACTTGACGCAGAGTGAAGATTTGGTAGATGCACCCGCGACCTGGTCGGAATCCGGCTTGTTGTTCGCGGATATTCCTCTCCCTTAAGGGTGTCAGGCGGCAAAGTATCACAGAGGTCAACACTTTTGTGATTATCCGCACTGAATTGATCCCACGGTGGTTAGCGCAGTCGTTGCGTGATCCCTTCTTGAAGATCGGGACGATCAACGATTCACCCCAGGACAAAGGGATACGCTCCTCCATGCTGCGAAGTAATTGAATTGACAAGAGAATCTCCGCCCACCTTGAAAAGAATAGGGAGAAGCCCACCAGGTCCCGAAGCCTTTCCTTTCTTTAATGATTGAATGCAGCTTAGTACTTCCGATTCTAATGGGGTCTCGCATGTTACCACCCATGGAGTTTCTGCCGCAGTTGCTGGAATGACCACATTAGCACTAGGCCAATAGAACTGTTCACTAAAATACTCTGCCCAGCGATCAAGTCATTGTTCTTTATTGTGGATGCTTTGTCCACTTTTATCGCAAATGGNTCCACTTTTATCGCAAATGGTCCCACTGACCGGTATGCGACGACCTCCGGTGCTGCGTATCAGGTGAAATAGTCTTTGACTATCCCCTGATGCAGAAGCTACCTCCATTTCATTAGCTATTTCGGCCCACCAATTTTCACGATCTTTCTTAAAGCTATTTCTGAGTTGACGTTGCAGACGACACCGGTCCTTATGCTGATCCTGGCAGATTGGGATCTTCCCCTTTTGATCCATTAGGATTACTGGCTCCTGAGAGATCCAATGCCTTCGGTGAGCTTCGGGCTCAGTCCCACAAGCAAAGTTTGCAGCTGAATGCATCGCAAGTCTAATCTGATTCCACTGTTGGTCTACTACTATGTCTCGGTTCTCCTAGCTCCCGTTCCAGCTTCTCCTCATAACGTGCGCAGACAGCTGGATCGCGCAGACGATGGTGAGCTAATTGAGGAGGCGATTTCTGCCGATGACTAATGAGTCGAAGAGCGAAGCGTAGCAGAACTAGTGCATGATCCGACTCAACGCAGGTGGACCAATAGAATCTGCAATTTTGTACTGAGCCACGCCAACGGTAGCTTACAGCTACGTGGTCAATTTGAGTCAATGTGCCCATTGAACTAGAACACCATGTAGCCGTTCGACGAGTAGTCGAAAGATGGTGTTATATAAGAACAGCCGGTGATCTGCGCAGAACTGAAGTATTCGATCACCGTTGTCTGTTCGCTGGGAGGGAAGGGCGAAGTGCCCTCCTAGACAGGCTTCGGGTGCGCTCCGTTTTCCAACCTGCGCGTTAAAATCACCTGCCAGCACTTTAATATCAGAGTTGTGGCTCAACCGAATCAGTTCGGCGAGTTTTGTCGTAAAATTCGTCCTTTTGTGAAGCGGGACTGCAGTTGGTTGGTGCATACGCAGAAAGTATGAACAAACCTTTTGGTGTTCCTACCCTTCCGAACACTAACTGATCCCTGTAGCCTCAATGCGCGCAGACGATTATTGACGGGTATCCAATCTATCATAGAGGCTTCAGCTTTATCGTTTAGTACGATACCTACACCACGCTGACCCAGTGAACGGGCTGCGTCGTCTCCTGATGTGCGAAGGAAATACTTCGAGGACAGACCCGGCGCACTCAGGTGGCTAGGATCCTGAATTCGTGTCTCCGATACGCAACAGACATTGATTTCTTGAGACTTTATTGTACGCGCAAGACACGCCTGTTGACCCACCTGCATAAGAGTCCTCACGTTGAAAGCCCCCAGATTGAGAGGTTGACGGGGCTTCAGAATTTGCACTTTATTTACAGGAAAACTAGTTCCAGTGCTATTTGGCAAAGACCTTTGGCGAGTGACGACCAATTTGTCTGAGGGAATATCACGGGTCGGAAGAAGGGGATAGGAAACGGCTACGTGGAACCGAAAATTGATGGGATGCAGCCGCATACTGCTCATTCATCAGCACCATCATCACCAACATGACTGATTCATCTCCAAATCGTGAATGCGGAAACGGTTACCAAATTAATGGCCAGTCGTGAATAAGGCGGACTGAAAATAAAGCCGATGGTGTGGTGATTTAAGCAGTCAATTACAAATGTCTACATAGAATTTAAGAATTTAAGTTGTTGGCCTATGTTACATCCTGTTCAATATATGCGTAAAATCAAACAAAATGACGGTTGTGCACTTACTCAATGGTAACATATAAGCAGAGGACAATGTGACGCACAGCATGTGCTGTCCGTAAATTCGACCCGTGTCCGGATATTGATACTGATCTGGAGACTCCGACAATTTAGGAATACTGTGAATGATCCACAATCCAGAAGAATTGTCAAAAGCAACGGCCCCTGAGATATGCGTTCTAGTGAATATAATGAATCAAACCTTTGAGGTGACCAACAAGGGTTTTCTCCACCGCGGTCAAAACACCAGGCTTTTCGTCATTATAGACCGCATAAAAAGAGGACTGGGAACCCTTCAAATGAAACATTTCTTCAAACGTGTTTTTCAGCATTCCAGCCTCGTTAATATGGTATTCGGGCTTTTGCCATTCGTTGGATCCG